AGAAATGTTATCGACTTTGTAATCAGAACAGAGACAAATGAAGTAAGTGAAAACTGTGTGTTTTGGTGAAAGGAACAGGAAATTTGAAATGGTAGTGTGGAGACGTGACCCAGTGCAGTGGTGTTTACAACTAATTGATCACAGCCAGCCACAGGTTTATTTATTCCTTCTCTACTCCCACTGCTTCACTTGATGTCACCTTAAAAAAAATAGAAATAGCAGCATGGTGAAATGAATTGAGACATAAAAGTCAAATAGCAGGAAAAAGAAGAAAAACAGTTTTTGAAAATTTCCTTTCTCTACCTTATAAGTTTTGGTTCATTGGTGGTTGAGATTATCTTATAACTACATAAACATACATGATTTCTGTTTGTTTAAAGATTTGTACAGGGGGCCGGCCCGGTGGCGCACTGCTACAGTGCGCAGCTTGCGAGTGCGACGGCGCTCCCGCCGAGGGTTCGGATCCCACATACAGACCGGTTCCCGCTCACTGGCTGGGCGAGATGTGGGCGTGACACTGAGGGTTGCGATCCCGTTGCCGGTCCCGGTCTGGTACGGGCGCGACACTGAGGGTTGCGATCCGTTGCCGGACACAAAAAAAGACAAAAAGGGAAAAAAAAAAAAAAAGATTTGTACAGGATAGAAAGAATGAGAAAAAGTATACTTTAATAGCCATTTTTCTTAGTGTCTTCTTCAGAAAACAGTTTGTATTCTTATTAGCAGATATTGTGTTTCCTAATTACTAACTAGTATTCATATACTAATGGTGGAGGAAACTTTTACCACATTATCCTTTTTTCTTGTAGTTTTTTTTTTTTTATATGTAGTTTTAAACTCTCCAGATTGAACTCTCAAAGTTTTCCAGAAAAGTCGTGGAGCAAAAGAAAAGCTTCCGTAGTTTTTTTCCATGTCTACATTTTGGGCCTAGATTGCTTAAATCTTACTCCCTTACTTTTTGCCCTGTGCTTGTGACATTTTTTAATAGGTGCTAAATAGCAGGAAACGTTTGAGTACAAATTATGGTTAGGATGTTGCTTCCAGAAAGAGCCACTTGTCCTAGGGTTATAAATTGAGTAGTATTAGTCCAAGTTTGCAAGTTATTTAGTAAGGTTCTTTCCAGCCAGCCACTGGGGGGAAGAAAAGAGCATATTTAGGAAGAGTCTCAGCTAGGACTTGAACCCAGTCCTGGCTTCTAAGTCTGAAAAAGTCTGTCCTTTTCTGCCTGCCTCCCTCCTCCCCCTTTTCCGTTTTGTTTTTTCTAAAGATAATAACGTTATGTTTGACTCTCTCTTGAACCCAGTCCTGGCTTCTAAGTCTGAAAAAGTCTGTCCTTTTCTGCCTGCCTCCCTCCTCCTCCTTTTCCGTTTTGTTTTTTCTAAAGATAATAACGTTATGTTTGACTCTCTCTTTTATCATATAGTTGCTGTACTTTCAGCACATCACGAAGACTTTTGTTTTTTTCCTCAGCAATGGGAATGGCCTGCAACCTGTATTTCTTCAGTTAGGCTTTATTTCCTATAGCTGTCAGCCTTGTCTTAAAACTGAAACTTTATTTTTGTGTGTTTTAAACCCATTCTTCTAGTATCCATAGTTGTATCTATACAATATGAACAATTCTGTGGGTAGTTTTTCTGAGTTTCTGTATTTTTGAAATCCTGCAAAGAAAAAAGTACCAAGTGACTTATTTGTCTTTATCATCTAGAATTTTTTTCTTTTTTTGCTTTATTTGAACTCATTACCTATTTCCTGCAATTTCTTAATAGTAGTATGTGGAGCTATATAAGATTGTTTTAGCCAAGGAGGAAAGGGTCTAAAACATATTTTAATTGCAAGAAAATTTTGATATACAGTTTAAGTAATATATTTATTTGCCTTGGACAAAATGCTATTTTTGTCTAAAGAGAATAATATAGAATACTTTTTAAAAGAAACTTATGCTCTTATTTTGATTAAATATATAGTGCTTTTTGATAATGATGTTATATTTCCAATGAGATTAAAAATAATAAGATTCTCTAAGAATGGCTTGTTTTAAATGTTTTTCCTGGTAGAATTCTCTTATAACATTGAAAAAATTGAAGTGAAATATTGCTTTCCATCTTAAAATGTTATCATTATTTTGTAGTGATTCTTCTTCAATGTTTAATGTTTACCTTTTAGGAATAAAAAGTTTTCGTCATAATTTTCAGTAGAATTTCATTGAAAGTTAAAATATTTATACCAAAGTATTTTTGGTGTGTTTTTACTATCCTTTATAAGAACAATGTCTTTTTAATTTTTATTTCTTTTCTAACCACAAAAGCTTAGTGGTTACCAGGTTGTGGCAGAATTTAGCATGGAATGAGTTATGAAATGAGCTCCGTAGCAGACGTGGTCTGTCCTTCAGTGTGTGTCTTTTCTTCTGTTTGTACAGGATTGCAGCTGAAAACTTTTTATTTGTTTTAGGTAAATGGAGTAGATTTAGCAGGCAAATCTCAAGAGGAAGTTGTTTCCCTGTTGAGAAGCACCAAGATGGAAGGGACAGTGAGCCTTCTGGTCTTTCGCCAGGAAGACGCCTTCCACCCAAGGGAACTGGTGTGTAAATTTAGAGCAGATGAAAGATTTTTGATAAACATGAGCAAGGGATCTGGGCTAGTTACCTGATTGCAAATATTTATTGAGACCTCTTCCAAGGAGTTTCTATATTTTATGTTTCTTTCAGCCCTAACTCAATACAAGCATCCTCCGTTTTAGAAATGGATATTCACAGTCATGACTGTAGGGGTATTTAAAAATCAAATGTTGGGATACTTTCTAGGACTGCAAATGTTTATCACTGTGCACTGTCAGATGGACTGATTTAATACAGAGACGTTGATTATTTCTTAACTGTCACTTCAAAGGCTGTTGTTGAATGCTTGCCATCTTCTCTACTACATATGACAAATTTTCATATTTCAAATTTTCATACTACATGTAGCTAAGCCAAATAAAGATGCTTGCTTATTGTTGTATGAAAAGGAGTACCTTTTAAGAAAAATTATTACCAGAAATAAAAAGACCTAAGTGTCAATAAGCCCCATAGCTATTAATTACCAATATAGGTAACATTATTTGGAATGACATAAATGAAACGAAAAGGTTTTTCTTTGCAGTCTTTTTATATATACATCAATACATCTAAGTACTAGATGGGCATTTACATGATACTGGTGTGAATGAAATATGTATATTAAATTTATGTAGTTCTGAATGTTTTCCTGCAAAAAGTGTTATTTCACTTGTTTATAAAAATGACTTAATTGGATGAGTTGCAATTATTTTTTGATGTGGTGAGAATTTTTTTTATTTCAAGTATAGGTGGTATTTTAAATATTTCGAAACAGATTCTACTTGGATCATGTTAGACTATTTGTCAACTCTTTCAGCTAGCTTTTAGCTTTATCTAAACAACAATTAATCTGTAGAGTGACCAGGTTTTAGTAGCACAGTTCCCAAATTTGTCATATAGCCCTAATTCTGTTATGTGATAATTTCAAATATGGATATGTCGTGGTTGGTAAATTTTCTTGTTATTTTATATAAAATAAGTATTTCCATTTTCTCTAGATAAACTATATCTCGATATAAATATTTATTAAAAGATAAATTTCAGTCATGAATACCCCATCCCTTGGTTACATGCAGATCTAAAACTGCATGTGATTTCATGGAAATTTCAGATTGTGATAGGATTGAAAAGTGAACACTTTTGTTTTAAGTAGATTTTGAATAAATTATGAAAACTTCTTTATATCTAAAAATGTTTAATGCATTATTTCTCAATTTAAATTCAGTTTTCCATTTTCCCCCCACTGCTATCCAATTTTGTGCTTAAAATGCCACCTGATCCTAAATCTGGAGATGTCTCTATTAAATTGTAAATGAGCACTTAAAAAAAAAACAACAACTAAACTCTAGACGTAATTTGATGAAGGCTTAATTTTTCCTCAGTGTATCCAAGCCACGATCGTTAGCCCACCTGATCCTAAATCTGGAGATGTCTCTATTAAATTGTAAATGAGCACTTAAAAAAAAAAAAAACAACTAAACTCTAGACGTAATTTGATGAAGGCTTAATTTTTCCTCAGTGTATCCAAGCCATGATCGTTAGTATTATTAAATTGCCAAAGCTTAAACACTGCTCTTCAGCAGTCTTTTCCAGAGTTAGTGCCA